TTTAGATAATATTCCTAAAAGATTGGCTATTCTCTTAATCTAAACTTACCCATAAGTAAAGGAAAGATAGGCAACTTAGTGGTTTTTCTGGGGCACCAACCATAATAAGCTTTCCATTGGACTTCAATAGACGAGCAATGGCAAAAGTGGATGGACTGCAGACACGTATCGATAATACCATCCAATGTACCCCGGCAGCCTGCAAATTTTTTTTTAAAAAAAAAAATTACTAAAAATCTAAAATTTAATTTGTTTCAAGTACGGGAATGTACCCATGAGAACAAATCATTTGGCATCTTAAAGTACCCTAATTACCTGCATTTGTTCAGGCACACGGCTAGCCAAAAATGAATCAGCACCAAGATGTTCCAAGCTTCTTTCATCTTACTTGGGGAGGTACTAATTACTGTCACTTTAGCTCCAAAAGCTTGGCAAATTTAACAGCCACATGACAAGCCACCAAGGCGACCACGCCAAGTGCTTTCCTGTTTGGCTAATCCATAATATTTCAAGGGGCTATAAACTGTAATCCCGGACAGAGAAGAGGGGCACCGGCATCAAGTGGCATGTTATCAGGGAACCGAACAATGTAGCGTTGATTGGCGACCATATGATCGGAATAGCCTCCATATGTGATTGTTCCATCAGTGTTAATGGAGTTGTAGTGAGTGTCCATTGGGCAGTAATTTTCAAGATCATTTACACAGTTATCACAGGAGTGGCATGCACCAACAGCATCCAACACCAACTTTATCTCCAACTTTAACCTTCGTACTTGCCACCCACTTCTGTCACTTCTCCAACGATTTCCTGCCTGCAAATCATGTTTTTGATGGTTAAGGTTAAGTTGAATTAGGAATCCAATTTAACGTGTATGGAATGGATTGAACTAGGGAATACATCAAAAAAGATCAAGATAAGAGACAACCAATGAAGTTAATCTTTGATGGCCACTATATAACAAGCATCTTTCGACTAGAAATAAAGTGGCTCTTTCTTGTCTAAGCCAAATAGTATTTCTCCAATTGCTCGTTTTGTGCAAAAATAGAAGAGGATGAAGAGATATATAAATGTTAGGAAAAATGAGAAAGGAGGATACATACCCAGGAAACATAGGGTAGATAGAGTTGCCCCATTCATTTTTGATACTGTGAAGATCAGAGTGGCACATCCCGCAATATAACACCTTAAATCTCACGTCCTCATCACCTGTTTCCCTGCAAATTATTTATTGTTATGATGTTTTTCCTTTTAGAACTTTGTGATCTGACTAACGCTAAAAAGTTACTGAAACTCAATGCAATGTTAAAAAAAAAATACATATAGTGTTGCTTATTTATTGATTACCTCCTGGAGAATTTGAAGGGGAGAGATGGCCAGAAGGGTCAGTGGCTGCCCACCCAAAAGCCATTACAGGGTGTTGTTCTTCCGGTGACTTGGCCATTTTTGGGAGGAAAAAATGTGGGAGCGTAGTGCTTAAATGAAGAATTATAGAGAGAAGGTAGTGAAATGTAGTCACAAGCTTTAGTTGATGGTGAGGTAATTTATAAATGAGATATTATAGTAGTGTTGTGAGGTATTAATTACGGTGGGGTGACATACTGTGTGACCGAAAGAGGTATCAAGTCAATGGCATTTAATTTTCTTATTGATCCAGCTAAGGGGACATTATACACATGGTTGTTTTCTCTGAGGTTCAAAGAAAAGTCATTTAGACTTGATACCTTTCAAAAGTTTTATGAATATTGAACCTAATAAGTGGAGAAAAATTTAGGGTTATTGTCCCGCACCTCCCCTAAGGTTTGCTTTTTATTTGTGACACCCTACAAGTATAAATAGCATCCCATTTCCTCTCAGATTTCAATAATCTCTCAAACCTTCTTTCTCTACCGTTTGCTAACAGAATCTGTTAGGTTTTTTAAATTACTCTAAACCCCTCTGCATATATCTATATAAAAATGCCCCTAGATATTTGAAATTATTCTCAACCCTATGTTGATAAAAATTAAAAAAAAAAAAAAAAAAAGTTGCTCTCAACTCCAAAACCAATTAAATACCTTATTTACCCTAATTTCACTAGAACAAAAAAAATAAAATAATAATAATAACAAATTAATAATACAATTATACTCTAAGGGGTTCTTTGGTACATATATATATACTCAGGGGTATAGATAGTTTTCCTTAACAGATTTGTTAGCAACAGTAGATAAGGAAGGTTTCAGAGAATTATTGAAATATGAGCAGAGGTGAAAAAGCTATTTTAAACTTGAGGGGTGTCATGGAGAAAATGCAAAACCTTAGGGAGGGTGAGAGATAATAACCAAAAATTTATCTGAGAAGGGCTAATATGTATCATTTTATAAGGTTTGATATTTAGATAAATAAAATAAGAGTTTTGTTGTTGGCACCCAATTTTATTTTCTAAACCCTAATTCTAATAACCTGTTAAAATTTTTAAGCATATAAAAATGTCTATACAACACCATCTACTTCTACAATACCATTTAGTTATATTTTTCACTCTCTACTATTTCCAATCCATTTTTTATACTATCTTTTTATTCAATCACTAAAGAGATTTTTAGTCACCTGCACTAAATTAATCAATTGATCCGCCTGTATAAAATAACTCAAATATCTAGGAGATAGCCAAGAATTTATATGAGCGGGGCAAATTAAAACATAATAAAATTTAAATTTTTACTATTAACGAAATTATCGATACTGAAATTTTACATAGAATTGGTTTCTTGGATGCAATAGTAGTTCTCAAGCTCTTCTCCATAATCGAACCCTAATGCTCCATCATCCATCACCCATCACCAACATGGTGACTTCTATTCAACCATCGAAAATTAATAAGTTAGAAATTTAAATAATGTGTCATCAACACAATAACTAATATAAGCTATTTAGAATTAATATTAATATGTATGTATAAAAAATTTCATAATGTAAACTAAGATGATTCTCTAACAAGTTGAATAGTTCACACTTAATCATTTTTTTTTTTTTTTAATATTTGCAGGCCACTTTGCTCTTATCTACAGTAAAGCCAATTGACTTGTTTATATATAATTTTCTCTAAAACTTGTTTCATACCAAAGAAGATTTTATATATTATTTAAATTTCTATCAATAATCTATCATACAAATATAATTCATTATCATCAATTTTAGTCACTCATTCATTATTATTATTAAATGTATAAATAAATTAAAAGTATCTAGAATTGACTAGATTGTAACTTGTAACATTTGATTGTGAAAATATGAAATTGGTAAGAATTGAGATGGAGATATGTAAAACTAGTTAGGGAGTTAAAATCTTATTTCTTGTTGACAAAGAAAAGGAATAAAAAGAATAGATTAATTGAAGAAAAAGAGACAAAATTTACTTTTCTGCTTGGGTACCTATTTGAATAATTTCAAATAATAGGATTGTTTTATTTTATGAACAGGGCTAATTCAAATACTTTATAATTTTTTTTTTTCAAAAATCTAATAGGGGCTAGATAATTATAATTTTTCTCAAAAATAATAATTTGGGACTAAAGAGATAATAACAGGGGCTAGGCCAATAGCAACACTAGAAGAAGGGTTAAACATAGACCCCCCGGAGGTCATAAAGTAATAAGAGGTTCAAAATTAACAAAAATTCTCCTGCCATTAATGAACTAATAGTGAGTCATTAAAAACACTATTAAGAATTATAAATATTACAAAATTGTCTTATCGTGTATTTTAACACCAAAACTTAACGGTAGGAGAATTTCTGTTATTTCCAAAATATCAAAGGGGTATTTGTTATTTTATCATACTTACAGGAATTAATGTTACTACCCCTAGAAAACAAAGCAATCGCAAGCTAGGTTGACCATCATCCACCGTCACCCCAAACCTAGCATGCCAAAGTTGGGCAACTCCAACTCTTCCCAAAACCCAAACTTCAAGGTTTGTGTACGAAAAGAGGAAAAGAAAAGTTTCTGAATAATGCTCTGATTTTTTATTTGCAGAGACTTTATATACAAAGCTTAGCTAACTCATACTCACTAACTAACTAATTAAGCAACTAATCCAACTAATTAATACTGAAGATTAACAACTTAACAAACCAGCTAAAATAAGCTAAAGTGTTACCAATAAAACTGTTGAATTACATAAATAACCCTCCCAGATTATTATTCCTCCATCCTCCACCCACCCCCCCCCCCCCCCCCCCTCCCCCCCCCCCCCAAGTTGGAGTTGGAGGTAGGTGACAATCACCTAAGCCCAACTTGGACAAGAAATATGTAAATTGAGGAGCAGCGAGAGGTTTTGTGAAGAAATCAGCAAGTTGCTGTGAAGATGGAATGTAATGGGGAGTGATGAAACCTGCCTGAATACAATCTGAACCACATGACAATCAATTTCCAAGTGCTAGTACGTTCATGGAAAACTAGATTAACCTGTGTGGGGAGGCAGCTCGATTATCACACCAAAGAGTAATAGGTAGTGAGAAGAAATCAGCAAGTCTTGAAGCAAATAGGAAATCCATTGTAATTCACAAACTGTGGCTGCCATAATTCTGTACTCATTCTTGCAAAGGACTTAGAATTGTAGTTTGTTTCTTGTCTTCTACGAATGAGAGAAGGCCAAGGAAAAACAATAGCCAGTGAGAGGCATTCGGGAATCAGGGCAAGAAGCCCAATCAGCATCACAATAAGCTGTGACTGAAGGAAGAGTGAGCTGGAAAAAATAAACCTTTAGAAGGGACATCCCTTTAGATACTGTAGGATGTATAAGCAGCATCCCAATGTCTGGCAAGGAGAGTTAACAAACTGACACAACTGCTGAACAGCAAAGCTAATGTCCGGTCTTGTCAAATTAAGATACAACAAGCGGCCAATTATCTTCTATATGATCAGGAGAAGATAGGGGATGGAAGATTCTGAACTAAGCTGCAACCTTTGAGAAAATGAGTAGAAACAGGCTTTGCACCAACCAAACCTGTGTCTTCAAGGATATCCAAAATATATTCCTTGATTGATAAAAGTTCCCTCGGAAGAGTGAGCTATTTCTATCCCAAGGAAGTATTTGGCATATCCTAAGTCTTTGATAGTAAAAACAGAATGTAGATAGGCCTTAACTGCTGCAATATCACTTTCATAAGGTCCCATTACTAAAACATCAACATAAACAATTAGAGCCAAGAAATATCTGCAGAAGGTTTAGTGAAGAGACAATGATCATGCTTGGACTGAATAAAACCATAGGCCAGCAACTAGTGCAGAATTCATGATTCCATTATCTGGAAGCCTGTTTCAGGCCATATAAGGATTTTTGAGTTTACAAACCTCTCCATTTGTGCCTTAGAATAACCATGGGGAAACAATAGACTGCTCATCCAAATAACCATGTAAGAGGCATTGTTAATGTCTAATTGATGTAATGGCCAAGAGTGGGTAGTACCAATGGCCAAGAAAATTCTCACTGTAACAAGCTTGGCAACCGGAGAAAAGCTTTCCAAATAATCCACCCCATAAATTTGATTGTAGCCTTTGGCCGTTAATCTGGCCTTGTATCTATCTACACTCCCATCCGATTTGAGTTTAATTTTATAAACCCATTTTGTGCCAATTGGTTTTTTTTCAGGTGGTAATGGAACTAATTCCCAAGTATGGTTGGACTCTAAAGCATCAAGTTCAGCATTCATAGCTTTAATCTATGCAGGATGTTGGCAAGCTTAATGATAAGAAGTAGGTTCTTGGATTGTTGAGACATTAGCTAAGAAATTGATATATATGTGTGATAAACATGGAGGATCAATGTAAGGGTAAGTTAGAGGTGTATGTATTGAAGAAAAATGAGATTTATCAACGGATGAGAGTTGTTGGGAACTATGACAGTGCAACACATAATCATTCATCCATTTTGGTGGCTGTTTAGATCTAAGACTTTGCCTAGGTAGAGAATGTGCAATTGGAATAGGTGAAATGTTACTAGACTATGAATGCAAGTCTATATGATCAGGAGACAAATTTTCAGGAAGCAATTCATTAGTAATAGGTTCAGTATGCATAACAGTATCAACTCTAGGTGATGAATGAGTTTCTAACTCAGTAGAAGGTATAGAATCAGAAATGTCAAAATCAGATGTAGATTGTGGTGAGATGTGGCAGGTAAATAATCATTTTCTCTAGGAAACAAATCTTCAAGATCAGAAGGAATTAATGGCACACATAAAGAATTGTTTGCAGTAGAATCAGTAGAGAAAGGAAACATATGTTCAAGGAAAAATATATCTCGAGAAACAAAAATTGTTTTAGAAGACAGATCATAAAGCTTAAAAGCTTTCTGACCTTGACTGTAACCAATGAAACAACACCTATTAGCTCTGGGTGCGAATTTATCCTTGTGTGGCAGTGTATTGGTTGCATAACAAAGGCAACCAAAAACCTTAAAAAAATCATAGGGAGGAATCTGTTTATACAGTAGTTCATATGGGGATTTCCACTAAAGGACTGAGGTTGGTAACCTATTAATGATATGAGTTGCCATGAGAATGGCATGATCCCAAAACACAACAGGCATATTAGCTTGAAAAATCAGGGCTCTAGCTACTTGAAGTAGATGCTTATGTTTTCTTTCAACAATACCATTATGCTGAGGTGTGTAGACACATGTTTTCTGATGAATAATGCCTAATGTATGAATAGTTGTTGACAATTAGAATTGAGAAACCCAGTTCCATTGTTTGTTCTAATGCTTTTAACTTTAGCATCAAATTGGGTATCTACAAGATGAAAGAAATTCTGCAAAGTAGTGAATGTTTGTGTTTTGTGGGAAAGGAGAAATGTCCACACTGCCCTACTGTGATCATCAACAATGGTCAGCACATAACGTGCTCCTGTAACATATTTTACTTTATAATGACCCCATAGATCCAAATGAAGTAAATCAAAAGGTTTAAAAGATATGGTTCGACTTATAGGAAAAGGTAACCTGGACTGTTTTGCTTTGTGACACACATCACAATCTGAAAAAGATGCATCAATAGATTTATCAATAAACTATAAATGATGCAATGCATTCAAAGAGCTGTTAACAAGTCTCTTATGCCAAAGAGATAATGAGCAATGATCCACTTTATTAGCAGAAAAAGAAACGTTACAAGTAGGAGATAAACACTTAGCTGATATAGCTTGTGTTTTTGTCTTATTACATGTAGAAGAATTCCTAAAATGGAGACTGTTTTTGTCCAGAATGTATAAATTCCCAACAAGTTTCCCAACTGCTAATATTTCTTCATTTTGTAGGTCCTGCAAAACACAATGTTTTGGATAAAAGGTAAACTTAAGATTTGCATTAGCAGTGAGTTTGGGTACTGAAAGTAAATTAAATTTGAAAGATGGAACATGTAGGGCATCATGAAGGGTTAGTTTAAAGTTTAATAGGATGTTTCCAATATGGTTCACAAATTTTATGGTTCCATCTGGTAAATAGACAGGTGTAGGTTTGNAGGTCCCATTACTAAAACATCATCAACATAAACAATTAGAGCCAAGAAACTATCTGCAGAAGGTTTAGTGAAGAGACAATGATCATGCTTGGACTGAATAAAACCATAGGCCAGCAACTTAGTGCAGAATTCATGATTCCATTATCTGGAAGCCTGTTTCAGGCCATATAAGGATTTTTTGAGTTTACAAACCTCTCCATTTTGTGCCTTAGAATAACCATCAGGGGGAAACAAATAGACTGCTTCATCCAAATAACCATGTAAAGAGGCATTGTTAATGTCTAATTGATGTAATGGCCAAGAGTGGGTAGTACCAATGGCCAAGAAAATTCTCACTGTAACAAGGTTGGCAACCGGAGAAAAGCTTTCTAAATAATCCACCCCATAAATTTGATTGTAGCCTTTGGCCATTAATCTGGCCTTGTATCTATCTATACTTCCATCTGGTTTAAGTTTAATTTTGTAAACCCATTTTGTGCCAATTGGTTTTTTTTCAGGTGGTAATGGAACCAATTCCCAAGTATGGTTGGATTCTAAAGCATCAAGTTCAGTATTCATAGCTTTAATCCAAGAAGGATGTTGGCAAGCTTGATGATAAGAAGTAGGTTCTTGGATTGTTGAGACATTAGCTAAGAAATTAATATATGTGTGTGATAAACAAGGAGGATCAATGTAAGGGTAAGTTGGAGGTGTATGAACTGAAGAAAAAATGAGATTTATCAACAATTGAGATCTGTTGGGAATTTTGACAATGCAGCACATAATCATTCATCCATTTTGGTGGCTGTTTAGATCTAAGACTTTGCCTAGAATGTGAATGCAGTTCTACATGATTAGGAGACACATTTTTAGGAATCAATTCATCAGTAATAGGTTCAGTATGCATAAAAGTATCAACTCTAGGTGATGAATGAGTTTCTAACTCAGTAGAAGGTATAGAATCAGAAACATCAAAATCATATGTAGATTGTGGGTGAGATGTGGCAGGTAAGCAAGTATTTTCTGTAGGAAACAAGTCTTCAAAAACAGAAGGAATTAGTGGCATACATGAAGACTTGTTTGCAGTAGAATCAGTAGAGAAAGGGAAAATATGTTCAAGGAAAAATACATATCGAGAAACAAACATTGTTTTAGAAGACAGATCATAAAGCTTAAAAGCTTTCTGACCTTAATTGTAACCAATGAAACAACACCTATTAGCTCTGGATGCAAATTTATCCTTGTGTGGCAGTGTATTGGTTGCATAACAATGGCAACCAAAAACCTTGAAAAAATCATAGGTAGGAATCTGTTTAAACAGTAGTTCATATGGGGATTTCCATTGAAGGACTGAGGTTGGTAATCTATTAATGATATGAGTTGCCATGCGAATGGCATGATCCCAAAACATAATAGGCATATTAGCTTGAAAAATCAGGGCTCTAGCTACTTGAAGTAAATGCCTATGTTTTCTTTCAACAATACCATTCTGCTGAGGTGTGTAGACACAGGTTTTCTAATGTATAAAATAGTTGTTGACAATTTGAATTGAGGAACTCAGTTCCATTGTCTGTTCTAATGCTTTTAACTTTAGCATCAAATTGGGTTTCTACAAGATGAAAGAAATTTTGCAAAGTAGTGAATGTTTGTGTTTTGTGGGAAAGGAGAAATGTCCACACTGCTCTACTGTGATCATCAACAATAGTCAGTACATAATGTGCTCCTGTAACATATTTTACTTTATAAGGACCCCATAGATCCAAATGAAGTAAATCAAAAGGTTTAAGGGATATGGTTCGACTTATAGGAAAAGGTAACCTGGACTGTTTTGCTTTGTGACACACATCACAATCTGAAAAAGATGCATCAATGGATTTATCAATAAATTGTAAATGATGCAATGCATTCAAAGAGCTATGACCAAGTCTCTTATGCCAAAGAGATAATGAACAATGATCCACTTTATTAACAGAAAAAGAAATGTTACAAGCAGGAGATGAACACTTAGCTGACATAGCTTGTGTTTATGTCTTATTACATATAGAAAAATTCCTAAAATAGAGACTGTTTTTGTCCAGAATGTATAAATTCCCAACAAGTTTCCCAACTGCTAATATTTCTTCATTTTGTAGGTCTTGCAAAACACAATGTTTTGGATAAAAGATTTACATTAGCAGTGAGTTTGGGCACTGAAAGTAGATTAAACTTGAAAGATGGAACATGCAAGGCATCATGCAGGGTCAGTTTAGAGTTTAATAGGATGTTTCCAATATGGTTCACAAATTTTATGGTTCCATATGGTAAATAGACAGAGGTAGGTTTGGTTACAGGTTTCGGTGAGTTCATAAGTTTCAAATCAACACACATATGGTTTGAAGCACCTGTATCAACAATCCATGTTCCTACTTCTAAGCAATCAATAACTTGTAAGCTATAATTCATACCTGCAAAGTCCCCTAGATGAGCAAAGTTCACCTGATTATTTTCCAGCTACATTTTCCCTTTCATCAGCTTCATTACCTCCTGCTGTATAATATCAGTGAGAGATTGTCCCTGCAATCCTTTCTTTTCTTCTTCACCAGTGTCCTCAAAATTCAAAGGAGAATCCATCATCTGTGCTGCCATTGCCTTACCCCCAATGTTGGCTTTACCTTGCTGACCTTTCAGCTCTTTATACCATTCTCGATAACCTATGATTTTGAAACAAAATTCTCTTGTGTGTCCATTTTGGTTACAAAAATCACAGTGTTTATCAGCATTCTTCTTTCTTATTTCCTATTTATTCTTATTTCCCCCATTATAGTTACTGCCATTGTTTCCATACTTCTTTGTTGAATTATTCCCTTGATTCATCTATGCCTTAGCAAACATGGCAAAGACGCTACTTGAGTCTGAAAAATTGATATGAACCTCCCTTTGCTTTTCAACTTTCAAAGCCATAGAATAGGCCTTATTAACAATANTGGTAAATAGACAGGTGTAGGTTTGGTTACAGGTTTTGGTGAGTTCATAAGTTTCAAATCAACACACATATGGTTTGAAGCACCTGTATCAACAATCCATGTTCCTACTTCTAAGCAATCAATAACTTGTAAGCTATAATTCATACCTGCAAAGTCCCCTAGATGAGCAAAGTTCACCTGATTATTTTCCAGCTGCATTTTCCCTTTCATCAGCTTCATTACCTCCTGCTGTATAATATCAGTGAAAGATTG